CACGCAGTTCTGTGTGGGTCCGTGTGTGGGTCCGTGTGTGCGTGCGTGCGTGTGCGCGCGCACACGTGCGCTCGCAGCAAAGTTTCTTTGTGGGTTCGTGACTCCCACTCTATCTGGCCCAAGCTTATAAACCTTACGACAAACTAAACACATACGTTTGTTTGCCTCTGTGTCTCACAATAAGTCCTTCTGGTTCGTTATATTTTGCGCATTTGCCATCAAAACCCACCATGAATCCAGCCAATGATTTACTTCCTCGTTAACCTTTGAATCAGGTACCAAAGCAGTGACGTAAGTTCACCACTTTCGAAGCTTCGGACGTCACTGATCACATGACTTTTACCAAACGAATCAAGCTCCGACACAGTGCTTCTGAAACAGTGTGTTGTTTTTTTCAATACGTGCGCTGAAGCTTCAGCTTCAAACTGCCCATCACTACTCTTTGCTCTCTCTTTGAGAAATGCACCTCCTTCCAGGAAATCAAATTGTGGAAAAATTTAGAGAATTCGATTTGTATGTTTGCTAGATTGATTAAAAAAAATTGTTGCAAAAATATGAACAACATGTAGATTGAGTATAAATTTGAGTATTAATTTTGATTGTTTTTATTATTTTTCAGCTCTGTTGTTAAAAAGCGAGTTATGATACTAATGAATATTCGCAGACTGGTTGTGCTTTGAGAAATTTTTTTCTTTTAAGTGGGGACAGATGCTATAAGATTTCTTTATTTATTCTGCTCCTTTTCATTTGACGTTGTACTTCTTGTTTTGTTTTTTTATTTTATTATTTGTATTTTTTGTTTACTCCAAATGAAATAAACTATTAAAACTAAAAACTTAAACCAACTCTGTAAGAAGACTCCTCTTTCTAATAACTTCAAACACCATTATCTCTTCAATCAAATTTAAGACTTAAGAGAAAATCACTTAATTTTATCTACATTTTATGACTGTTTTTAGTAGTCCCTGTTGTTTTCTTCTGATGAGCTTTTAATTAAAAGTCACATCTGGTGTATTTTGTGGTCTTTTGTTTGTAGGGTAACATCAGCCGACAGGAAGCTGTCAGCATGATCCCTCCTCTGCTCCTGAAGATTGAGTCCCATCACAAGGTAAAAGTACATCTCTTTTGAATGTGTAATATTTGTTTTTGTACTTTCCTACATATAAAATACTAATTGTATGTTTGAGATACTTGTTTTGGGGGGAAAAAAGGGAGAAAAACCTTTTTTTTTCTTGGTTTCTGCTCAGATCCTGGACTTGTGTGCAGCTCCGGGGTCAAAGACGGCTCAGCTGATTGAGATGCTTCACTCTGACATGGACGTGCCGTTTCCAGGTCCGCACATTTCCAACCTAAAGTTACGGTGAAGTACTTCCCAGTAACGGCAGACTGTAATCTGAATCCCCCCTCTCTCCGCCTTTTAGAGGGTTTTGTGATCGCCAACGACGTGGACAACAAGCGCTGCTACCTGCTGGTTCATCAGGCCAAGCGGCTCAACAGCCCCTGCATCATGGTGGTCAACCACGACGCCTCCTGCATCCCCACACTCCAGGTCCAATCAGACGGCAAGAAGGACATCCTCTTCTATGACCGTGTCCTGTGTGACGTGCCCTGCAGGTCAGCACACACACACACACCTGGCACATTCATCTCTTCTTTAAAGTTTGTGTAGCCAAAAAACAAAATGCGTGCAAAGCCTGAGGTTTGGACAGCTTTAAAGCCAATCACGAGGCAGTTTGAGACATGGAGGGTGTCTGATGGGCTCTGCTCTGCTCTGCAGTGGGGACGGGACCATGAGGAAGAACATCGACGTGTGGAAGAAATGGACGACCAGTAACAGCCTCCACCTCCACGGGTGAGCAGGGCGTGACGGCACAGGTTCAGACCTGGGACAAAGAAAGTCCAGCCTCTTTGAGTCAGGACTTTATAATGGTTTTGTCTTTACCAGGTACTGTTCAAATGTAACCTCAAGTTTAAAGAAATAACAAAAACAGATTCCACCAAGTCATTATTATAAAATGAAAACAAAGCTGAAATAAAAAAATCTGTGAGTGAAAAACTAAAGCTTATTTTGCCCTTCTGCCCTGATTACTGTTTATTATTACTAAAGATAATCTGATAAGATATCCCTGCAGTGTGTGGTGTTCTCCGAGGACAAACGAGCTCACAGCCTGTTGATTGTGACGTGTAGTCAATCAGAAAGCGAGGAGTTTTTTCTGCTTTCTGTCATCACCACTCGCCACCAGTTAGTGGCTCTAGCTTGCCCTGTTTGCTGCTAGTTCCTGCATGCCCGTTCATCAGCGCTGCACAGAAATGTTTTCCCCCATGAAACAGTTTACTGATGAGCGTGACGTCACATTCTGAACTTTCAGGCTATTTCAACGGTTCTGATGTTATTCAGAGAATTCATATCAACAAAAAAAAAAAAAAAAAACAGTTTTCGGTACAAACCAGTACCGCCCAGCTTTAATTCATTCATTTACAGAATCTCGTGTAACCCTAACCCTAACTCTCCATATTTGAATTAATTTGACTTTTTTTTTCTGTCACATTAGTGAAGGAATTTTGGCCCACTCTTTTTTGATAATGTTGCTTCAGTTCATTGAGGTTTGCAGACATCTGTTTCATTGCTCTCTGAATTTCCCACCACAGCATTTCAGCCAGTTTGAGTTTCTGGACTTTGACTGGATCTTTGCGATTCTTTTCTTTTTCAGCCGTTCTGTTCTGTTACTGCTGTTTGTTTCAAGCTGTCAGACGGATGGCCTCATTTTTGACTCTAGATTTTTTTTTGGTCCACAGAGGAGCCCAAAACATCACCCCTCCACCACCGTGCTGACGGTTGGTAGGAGGGTGTGTGGGACGGTTTGCTGTTTGGTTTTCTCCAAACATGCTGTGGCTTTACTTTGGTCTCTTGTGTCCAAAGAATTTAGTTTCAGAAGTCCTGTGTTTGTTCAGATCCAACTTGACAAACTTAACTCGTGCTGCCACCTTCTTTTGCAGAGAGAGGGTTTTTCTCTTGGCATCTTCAGCTGTCAGACTCTATAAGCAGCACCACACCCAAAAAATCATCACAAGTGTTTACACACCTGCTGCTGCCTGCACAATCATTTGTACTGTTACTATTCATTGACATTACTCATCTGAACAATCATTTGCACTACTACTCACTTATATTATTACTAATCTGAGCAATCACCTGCTCTGTTATTACCCATTTTATACTTTTAAAATAACTGCTGTAATGCTTTTAAAATAACTCTGCTGTAATACTTTTAAAATAACTCTGCTGTAATACTTTTAAAATAACTCTGCTGTAATACTTTTAAAATAACTCTGCTGTAATACTTTTAAAATAACTCTGCTGTAATTGCACATCTGTGTTTCTTGTCTGCACTGTGATACTTTACAGTTAATAGTCTGAGATAATTTTGACCTGAAAATAGGCAAATTCTGATTCCTAATGTCTGATAGTCTTCTGTCTCTAAAACAAAACATATCTTTTTCTTATTCTTGCACAATTCTTTATATTTATTATTAGTAGTAGTTGTATCATTGTTAGTGTTAATTTTGTTTTTTGTTTACTATCTAAAGTAACTAGTGTGTGAACTTGCGTGCAAAGTAACAACCGTGTTGGGCAGATGTGGCAGAGTGGTTAGGGGAGTCGCCCTGGAACCGGAAGGTCGCCAGTTCAATCCCCAGTCCAGCCGTTTCAGTTGTGTCCTTGGGCAAGACACTTCACCCACCTTGCCTACTGATGGTGGTCAGAGGGGCCGGTGGCGCAGTATGGCAGCCCTGCCTCTGTCAGCCTGCCCCAGGGCAGCTGTGGCTACAGTGTAGCTTACTATCATCAGTGTGTGAATGTGAGTGTGCATGAATGATCCATGGAAATTGTAAAGCGTCTTTTGAGAGTCTCGAAAAGCGCTATATAAGACTAATGGATTATTATTATTATTATTTAACCTCTGTACGAATGCTGCTGTGTGTGTGTCTGGAACCTGAATTTCCCCTCGGAAATTTAGAGCATTATTTTTCACAGAAAACTGTAATCTTAATTAAACCCAACGTTTTTGCTTTAATAATCTGCCTGCCAAACAATGAGCTTCTCCTTGCTGAATTTATCAGCTGTTGCTCTGCTGCACGCTCATCTTCATCATCATTATCATCATCAGAGCAGAAGGTGACTTTGCATTAGCAAGATGGATTTACGACCGGACTTCCACGTCTTTTTTTAAAATAATCTCTGTGGGTAACAATACATAAAAAAACAAGTTTTTTCTCCGACAATTGGGTGTGAAAAACTACAGTTGAGCTTTGCTCTGCACGACGTGCAGCGAGAGGAGAGCAAAAGAGAGGGAGGAGGAAAAGATCCTGCGACACGACACAACTTTTCTACAGCGGGAGGGGGATATTTTGAGGATTTATCCTCTATATACTTGTTTTAAAATGCTAGAATTTCTTCATTATACTTTGAACTCCTGCTCAGTTGTCTCTGCACTTGGAGCCCTGTTCACACAGGTGCGATGATGTAATGACGACAGGACGGTAGAGAATAAATTTCTACCGTAGGCCAACTTCATACCGTTTCTACCGTCTACCGCATATACCGCGCAGCCCTTATTTTATTCTATTCTATTCTATTCTATTCTATTCTATTCTATTCTATTCTATTCTATCTCCTAAATCCCTAACTTGGTGGAACCAGTTGTGTTTTTGTACACTTTAGATTTGACTTGAATAATTTTAGAACCTGGTAAAGACTGGATCATTTTTATTTCTGGATAAGTAAAACCCTGGAATTGAAATACTGTGAACTCTTTTTTCCCTTCACTGTATTCATTCTTCCATGTGGCTAAATAAAAAAAGTGTTTTTCTGGCACTAATGAACATATTTGACAGTACAACATTGTGTGTGTGTGTGTGTTCACCAGGCTCCAGCTGCGTATTGCAGTGCGCGGGGTTGAGCAGCTGGCTGTGGGAGGCAGGATGGTTTATTCCACCTGTTCACTCAACCCTATAGAGGACGAAGCTGTTATCGCAGCACTGCTGGAGAAGAGTGAAGGTAACAAACACTCTGACAGAGTTAGACCTGATCCACTGAACATGTAGGCCTCAGGCTCTTACCCAGCACTGATTTTTACTTTAGACCTTTATTGGATTGAATTGCCTCAGTCTTAGTTCTCATGTTCTCATGATATATAGGAGCGTTGGAGCTGGCTGATGCGTCCGGTGACCTCCCTGGACTGAAGTGGATGCCTGGGGTCACTTCCTGGAAGGTACCGGTGAAGTTTAGACATCATCACTGGGTTTTGAAGTTCAGTGTCTGAACTGAGGGATCATCTTTTGTCTCTAGTTAATGACCAAAGAGGGCCAATGGTTCTCGGACTGGTCCGAGGTTCCCACCAGTCGTCACACTCAGATCCGTCCGACGATGTTCCCCCCCAAAGATGTGGAGAAATTGGCCGACATGCACCTGGAGAGATGGTACAGACACACACAAATGAAATGTATTTTTTAACCCTCATGTTTGACATACAGCTTGTTTTTATCTCACATGTTCAGAACAAAGCTTTTCCCACATTCTGCCCAAATTCTGCCTTTCTAAATTTTGTTTAATGTTAAATAAAATCCTACTGTTTTGGTGCTAAAATAGCTCTGAGTCATAATGACACAGGTCCTGTCAGGCCACTGAAGGTCTGCTGTGGGATTTGGCATAAAGTAAGGCTACGTTCACACTGCAGGTCATAATTCTCAGTTCCTCTTAGGCTTGGGTGGTATGACCATATTTTGGTATACCACGGTATTGAAATGATTGCACTTAAAAATTAAAACTTTTTATTTTTATTTAAACATTGAGACCTTTGAGCTCAACACACCACAGACTCCCCCAAAAAACAAAACGAAACAAACAAAAAAAAAACCTGCCCCAGTAATACCGTATACCGGAATAATATGGTATGAGAAAAAGATCATTACCGCCAAACCGTAGTTCTTTTATTTTTTTTTTTTTTTTGCCTCGTGGCTCACATTCTAACCTTTATAACAGTCCACAGCCTTGAAATGACCCACATGCACAAGATAAAACATGATGTCACACACAGCTCAGTGAGTTTACAGAAGTAAATATGGACGCTACACATGTTGGCATGTGTGGTTCAGTCCTGAAGTTGTTGTGGAATTATTGTTTGCTATGCTCCAAAGTTTACCTTTTTATTTTTCCACTTCCTGCCCACTCAGGAGCAAAGTTGCACTTTTAAAATGGGAGCGACATATTAGTAAAAGCAAATTCAAGTATCAATCCTATCACACCAGTACTGATTTAATGGGACACCAACATCAGCACCATGTGTTGGTGCACAGTAGAGTCTGTCATCCAAGACATGATGAACTAAAACAAGAAATAAATGAAGTTGTAGATCAACACCAGTGATTGCTGTCAGAATTTTATTAAAATCTGTCCAGCAGTTCATGAAATCATCATCCGCCATTAAAAGATGCAATGAAAAAAAAAATAGGTCATCCTGGTAAATAGGGTTAGGAAGTTGCAGCAAAATGAAGCTCTTTATTTTACTTTTTGTCAGTTTTATTGATATTCTAATGTTTATCATGAATTAGTGATTTCAAATTTGTGTTACAGTTTACTACAATGAATATCATCCTAAAACAAAAGTCAGCATGAGTTTATTTATTTATTTATTTATTTATTTATTTATTTATTTACAGACTACCTCTGCTCAGAGCAATGATTGACATTAAAAGTGCTACTTCAGAAGGACTGAAACACCATTATTAATGTTGGATATGAAGTGATGTTTTGTGACTTCTGTTTGAACTACGTCATAAAAGTAGATGAAATTCACAAAGAGAAACAGCATAAACTTCCCCGTAGACAGCAAAGAGATTCTGGGAGAACAGCCAGCCGTGTTTGGAGCTCTGCAGCTCAGAGATGCTCAACAGAAAAATACGACTGTCAGCTTGAAAGGCCAAGTCCTGTGAATGGGTCATCCTGGTCCTTAACATTTACTTGGTGATATGAGCTAAATTAACTTCCACGTAAATATTGAGACCTAGTGTTCCCGAGCAGAGCGTCGCCCAAACCATCAAACTGCCTCTAAAAACAGGCATGGGCCTGGCTGAGCATCTTTTCTATTAATACCAGCAGCTTGGCCATAAAAACTAGTTCGTAGTTTTTTGTTTATTCAGTAGAGGTTCACTTGCTGCTGATTTTCCCCAGCTGCTGTTGTAAGGATTGTAAATGCCATCCGTGGTCCTAATGTTATGGCTGACTAGTGCACCTCATGTTCAGGATGATGTAATTTCTGCTCCTGTCCTTCAGTAATGACTCTGACAGGATGTGGCCAGCAGAGGGGGCTGTGGCCCCACATTGTCAAAAATTTTTTTACGTATTTTTACTTTTCTTGTTCTTTCTGTAGGTGGCACCATAAAAACAAAACTGGAATTCATCTTTTGTGTGTTTTTTTTATTGTCAGTATGAGGATTCTGCCACATCATCAGAACACAGGAGGGTTCTTTGTGGCTGTGCTGGTGAAAAAAGCCCCGATGCCCTGGAACAAAAGATATCCTAAGGTACTGCTCACTGCCTTATTTTAGGATGATTTATTTTTCCCAGGTGGTTCTGTCAGTTGATCCAGAACAGAACCAACCCCCCACCACTGCATCACTCGCTTGTTTATTCCCCCCCAGCTGGGTCTCTTTCCAACACTTTACCCCCCAGAATCTTTATTTATTTATTTATTTATTTATTTATTTATTTATTTATTTATTTATTTTTCTCATCCAGTTGAGGACGAACCCCTCGTCGAGCTCATCAGCCCAAACTGCCGGCTCCTCTGCAGCCTCGTCCCCAGCTGACAACCCCCACCTCCCCACTGATGGCTCCCCAGAGGAGGTGGAGGAAGATGGCTCAGGAGGGAAAGGAGACGAAGAGGCAGAGCATGAGGCGCCTTCAGGAGCTGCTTTGGCTCAGGAGGCTGGTGGTAAACAAGATGCACGGTGTGGGTGAGTCACGTTTGTCTGATGAGGTAATAAACTAAAAAAACACAACCTGTCAATATTTGGAGCTTCTGACTGAGTAAAAGATCTATGATAAAACCTTTAGTCTTAGAATTGGGTAACTCATTTGTCAGTAAGAAATTAATTTAGAAGATTTTTTTCTTTGTAAGTTTTTCGGCATATATCTTGTTGCGCAATTTTTGTGCACTTTCAACAAAATATCAAAACATTCACCTCCAAGACATTCGTTTTGCTGCCTTTTGGGATATTTTTTCTGCCATATTTTTCCCTTTAAAAATTCCCTTCAACATACTTCAAATCATATCTATGTGTATATGTGTGTGTGTATATATGTAT